GTGTTTCCTTGCTCTCCTCAAATTCCACATCTGCCTCATCAGTTGGGATCATTTTCCATTGTTTTGCTGCATTGATTCCTAGATGTCTGAATTGGTTTCCTACATTTGAAGGTCATATTTCTTTCCCCTGTTATTGTTTTTGCTGGTTATTTATCTGCTTATATTCAAAGGCTTTGAGTTTTCCTCTTTCTGATAGCTCTGGTAATTTCAGGGTTTTTTTTCCCCCCGTTGTTCACTTTCTGACTCTCTCACTCACTCTTCTCTGATTGAGGGATGAATCTCAAAATGTCTCAGCCTCCCCCCACACTGGACAGTTCACAGTGTACTAGTCTAGGTCTCTGGCCCACACGACTCTTGGATGAACAGAACTGCTGGATGCTTAATACTTACACACACACACACACACACACACACACAAAATGATCCTGTCCTGGTCTTTTGTCTTACTGCCTCTATTCTTCAGTTCTCTGGCCAGGCAATGACAATTCAAAGGGCTGATCCTATGGGACTGATTTTTGTAGTTTGTGTCTCTGGGACTCTGGGAGGAGGTGGCATTGGATGGAGGGAGGGATGTGTTGTTGAGCTCTATTTCAAGCCCAGACAACTGTCCCTTTCCCTCTGTTCCCGGCTTTCCTGCAGAATGTTATCCACCACAGCATTGGCTGTTTAGCCCAGTAACCTTCTGTTTTATGGAGTACTGCAGATGTTCACTGGCGATCTGTCCAGGTCAGAGCAGGTTTCTCTAGCCTGGAGCCCAGATCTCCATGGCCCTGTAAAGAGAGAGAGAAGATATGGTGGATGGTTGGGTTTTCTTAGGAGCCTCATGTGAATCAGTAGTAACTTGGCAAGTGGGAGAGGGATGATGAGCGAGCTTAGGGCAGACATCAGTTCATGGGTTTCTTTGTTGGTTTGGATTCTAGGTATGCTAAATTATGAAGAAAACTAAAGTTTATCATTGGCACATAATTGGGCTGTTCTGAAGAATTTGGAGAGGTATAGGGGATCAGAGAAAATGTCCAGCCCTCCATTTTGTCTATCAATGGGATTTTTCTAGTGCATTGCTCTCAAAGACTCAGAGCCCATTTACATCCCCCTCTAGCAAATAAATGCTTACACATAGGTTATTTTCTAATCCCCCTGGTTCAGGCCCTTATGGTATTCAGTCATAAGCATGACAGAAGCTCCATGGCTTGAGGCAGTGAAAGGCATTAGGCCATCCAATCATGCAGGGATCTACTTCCTCCACATCACCTTCCTCTCCCCCACTTCAACCATGATGAGATCAGTCCAATACAATCCATCCAACTAGAGCAAGATGTTCTCAGGCCAATCTGGTGGCTCAGGAAATGAATCACTCACAGACGAACTAACATTTAACAAACGGTTTACTTAACGACAGCAGGTAAAGAATATTCATCATGGACATGACATTGTGACCTCATAGCCTCTGATTTTTCCAAAGTGTCATGCAGGTGCCTGTGTCAAGCCTGATAAGCAAAGTGATTCTGATGGGGTTTGGGCCCCGGAAACCCTCCCCTTCCCCTTTCCCAGGTGGCCCTGGCCTTCACCTGGGGCTACAATCCTTTCTACTGTCCTTGCATTGGCCTTTGAGCCTACCCCAATCTCCAATACAGCTAACCTAGCCCATTCCTTCAAGGTCTGTTATCTCCTGGATAGCTCCAGGCCACTTCCCATCTTTAATCCCATCTAGATCCCTTCTGTTACCTCCCAGTCACTCCAAGCTTATTAGCCATTCCTTGACCACTGTATGTAAGTGTCCCTCTGGCCCCCACTAAATAGCTTAGATTCTTAAAATCTGGCTGATAACCTGGACTCATTAGGAATCTCATCCACCCCTAATGGTGTTTTAATAAACCTTGTCTCCGACTGAAAGAAGGCTTAAGTCAAATTCTTTCAAGGCCGACTGGCACCTTTTGCCCTTGAATTTTGGGGTTCCAGAATCCCTAGAACACAACAATTCCTTCTTTGTCTTCCCCTTCACTGGGCTTTTATACATAAATGATCAGGGGAGTACTCATTAAGCAGCAGGAACTGACAAATATTAGCTCATTTGATGCTCACAACAACCCTGGGAGGTAGATGTTATGTAAACTGCAATTTTACACTTGAGGAAACTGAACAAAAGGTTAAGTGATTTGCTCATGGTCACACTAGTAAGCATCTGAGGGGGAATTTGAACTCAAGTCTTCCTGACTCTAAGTGAGGGCTTTATCCAGTGTGACACCTAGATATTTTCAAAACAGAATTCTGTGCCTACACCATCTAGGTATCAAGGACATTTCAACATCTTTTAAGGAAAAACTAGCCTAGCCCAGATGGGGCACCTACAGGTGTTATTCCTGTAACATATATGTGATTTCTTCAGTGTAGGGAGCTCCCTCACATACAGAGTCCCTAGTAAAGCAGTCCCTAAAGAGCATTTCTTAAGCATATAAAACTTGCCCAACACTGTGATAAGCACTGGGAATACAAAGAAAGGCAAAAATGAGTCTCTAATCTCAAGGAATTCACAGTCTAATGGGAGAGATAATATGCCAGGTACAAATAAGAGCTCTTGTCTTGCCTTGCTGAGTCATTTCAGTCATGTCCAACTCACATTGTGACCCCATTTGGGATTTTCTTGGCAAAGATACTGGAGTACTTTGCCATTTTCTTCTCCAGCTCATTTTACAGATGAAGAAACTCAGACAGAGTTAAGTGACTTGCTCAGGGTCACACAGCTAGTAAGAATCTGGGGTTAGATTTGAAGGCCCAGGGCCCAACAAGATATAGTCAGGATAAATTGGAGATAATCACATAAAAAAGGACTTAAGTTTAAGGAAAGACAGGTAAAGGCTTCTTGCAGAAAGTGGAATTTTAGCTGAAATTTGAAAGAAGCTAAGAATCAGAGACGATGAAGAAGAGAGTTTCAGGTTTGGAAGACAGCCAGTGAAAATGCAAAGAGCTGGGAGACGGTGTGTTGTGCTGAAGAAACACAAAGGACTCTGCTGTCACTGGTTCACAGGATATGTGGAGGGAGGCAGGTATAAGAAACCTGGAAAGGCAGGCAGGGGCCAGGTTAGCAAAGGTTTTAAAAGACAGAGGATTTATTGCCAAATAGTGGGTTGATATGATAAGACCTACTGTTCAGCCAAATCAGTCTGACAGCTCAAATCAAGGATGGATTGAGTGGGGGAAGACTTCAGGCAGAGAGACCAACCAGGAACCTAAAGCAGTAGTCCAAGCTTGAGGTGATAAGGACCTGCACCAGCATGGAGGCAACATCAGAAGAGAGAAGGGGGCATAAGTAGGAAATGGTATGAAGGACTTGACAACTTATTGGCTATGGGAGGTGAGAGGAAGAAGTTGAGGATGATATTTAGGTTTTGAACTTGAGAGAATGGGAGAATGGTATCCTTGAGAGTAAGAGGGAAGTTAGGAAGAGGGGAGGATGTAGGGAGAAAGGTAATAAGTTCAGTTTGGGACATGTTGAATTTAACATGTCTACAGGATCCAGCTCAAGATGTCTAAAGGGCAGTTGCAGATGCAAGACTGAAAGCTAAGAGAGAGGTTGGGGCTGGACAAGTTGATCTGAGAGACATCGACATAGAGATAATAACTGAAACTGTGGGAGCTGATAAGATCCCCATATGAAACAGCAAAGAGGGAAAAAGATGAGCTAGGACAGAGTCTTGGGAGACTCTCACAGGGCAACAAGTGTGGGAAGATCCAGCAAAGGAGATTGATCAGGAGCAGAACCAAAAGAGCTGTGCATCATGAGAACCTAGAAAGTATCAAAGAGAAAAGGGAGACTGACAGTGTCGAAGGTTATATGGAGAGGTCAAGAAGGATTCAGCAAGATTAAGAGATCACTGGCAACTTTGGAAAGAAGAGTTTCAGTTGAATGATGAGGTCCAATGCTAGGCTGCTAGAACGGAATGAGAGGAAAGGAAATGGATAGCCTCCCAAGGAGTTTACCCACAAAAGGGAGGATGATAGCAGGAATCACCTGTAGGTTTTTTGAGGATAAGGGACACTCAGGCATTTTTGTAGTGACCAGGGGAAGCAGCCAATAGACAGGGAGCAACTGAAGATTAGTGAAAAGAGAGATCTACTGGAGAAGACAGTTCCCAGGAGAAAACTGTGGCTTTCCCACCTCCAAGCTTTTCTTATGCCTAGAATGCTGTCCCACAACATTGCCAATAGAAACCCTCTCTATCCCACTAGGCTCAATTCCAATGCCATCTCTACAAGGAAGCCTGCCTCTGACCCAACCACACACCCAAATCCCCACTTCACAAAGTACTCAATTTGGTTACACTTCTGTGGTGCATCTCTCATTAATTAGAGCATATTATATTTTTCTTCCCATAGCTATCATCCCCCTCCACAGTTAAGTTCCCTGGGGACTCAGTAAATCTCCTGTCTTCATACAGAAAATCTCAGAATTTGGAGTGAGAGGGCCAGGGTTTAAATCACGGTGCTGCCATTGGCTGTTTTGATCCTTAGACCCTGAGCCTCGGTTTCTTCACACAGAGAACGCAAGGCTGGAAGATCCCTTCCAGCTCTAACTCTATGATTCTCTAAAGGTTGAAATAAATGAATTAGTGAATACAGAAGTGGTTTATCCGGGTCACCTCTGCCAAGCCGCTGATCTCACTCACGCCTGGTGACGAGGCTATTCCTTCCTCCCTCTCACCCACTTTCGGACAATAACCCCTAGCCAAGCAGAGTGCCTTTGGGGGAAGCCTCGACCCTTTTCTCCTTTCTACAAGCCAACTAAAATAAAGCTGCCTCCCAGATCACCAAACTCCTCCCTTCCCCTCCCCCAACCCCATTGCGTCTCCTCCCCTAAGGCAACTGCAAAACCGGACAGGTTGAGACACACAGAAACATCACGCGCCACGGAGTCTCTGACCCACCAGTGGCCCCACCCCTTCACCCGGCCCAGCCAATGGTTAAGAGGGGAGGTGGGACCAGACAGGCTTAACCCAGAATATTGTCATAAAAGAGGAGCCACCGGACCCAGGGCTAAGCAGTCTCCCGCCCGGACCCTCAAGTTTGCTTAGAGGTCCGGCTCTCCCCAGGTCCTGCCGCTGCTGAGACGCCCAGGTGAGGGTGGGCAACCCGCAACTCCCAGGTCCGAGGGAGGGGCTCGGAAAGGGGCAAAGTCCTCAGGTCTGGGGGATCCCCGGGTTGGAAAGGAGAAAAAGAGGAGGGCAGAGCCTGGGCTTGGGAAGGGGGATGGTTGGGGAAGAGTTTGTTGTTGCTGTTGCTGCTGGCAGATGCGGCTGAGTGGGCAGAGCTTGGCCAGCTGCGATTTTGTGTGTGTGTGTGTGTGTGTGTGTGTCTGTGTGTGTGAGTGAGAGGGTGTGTGTGTGTGTGTGTGTGTGTGTGTGTGTGTGTGTGTGTTTGTGTATATGTATGTGTTGTGGTTCTACCTGAACGGGGAATGTGGGGCGGTTGACTTTAGGGTGTTGTACCCTTTCCCGGAGCCAGGGTGAAATCAGGACAAATTAATAGCATCTACTTCCCGGGAAGGTTGTTACGAAGCTCAAGTGGGGGAGCATCTCTACAGCCCTCTGCAAACCTTGAAAAGCGTTAAAGGAATGTCTGCCTCTCTTTTTATTACCATTACTATTACGGAAGAGCACGGAGCTGACTGAGTCCGCAGCTTATGGAGTCTAGGGTGTGTTTTCGGCCCGCATTTAATGGGAGAGGAGATTAGGAGGAGGGAGCGCTGAGGAGGGTCACGTTTTGGATGGATTTGGGAATGAGGAGTGACCCGCCCCAGGATGACCTGTGACTTCTTTTCCGAATCTGATATGGGATTGTTCTCCCTCCCTTTCCCGGGTTTATTCATCCCGGGTGACCTGGAGCGGTTCCGGATTCCCTCCGGTTGCAAACTCTGCAGACATCCATGTGGTGGGGGTGGGGGGGCTAAGGAAGTGTGAATGTACTTGCTTGACTATGTGTGTACGGTTGTGCCCCAGGGGAGGAGGAAAAGAGCTCGTCCCGGGGCTCGCTTGAAAGGCCCCTTACAGTGCCTTGCAAACCCCCCACAGCTGGTGCCCGGGGTGGGGGACAGTACTGGGAGGGGTGGCTCATAGCCAAGTTCCTTCTGCCTCTCTGTTGGTGTTGGGGGTCCTGGCTCACATGGGCGCCTCCACGTGACCACCTTTCCCGGATTGGAGAGGTGGAGCTTGTTTGGACAGAGTCGGGGAAGAAGTCGTTTTTGGATGCAGGAGGTTTAAATGTCCAGAGTTTGTGTGACCACCTTCCTATTCCTTGTATTTGTAAAAGACGGATTTTGGCTTGCAGGGCTTTTATATCTAAGGCTGATAGGATGTGAAAGTCTGGAGGTGGCTACCTCACTCTGCTATAGAAAAGGCAGAAAAGGCTTTCCTCTTCTCCATTCCCTCCATCAGCAGCTGACTCTAAAGCCTTAACTTTAGACTCTATAGGATCAAAGATTTAAAGCTGGAAGGCACCTCAGGGAAACTGCGACTTTGGGGTGAAGTGACATGCCCATATGGTAGTAAGTGGCAGAAGTCAGGATTGAACCCAGTCACCTTGATGTCAAATCTCTCTGTATGCTACTGTAGCATGTTGCTTGGTCATGGTCCTGAGAAATGGAGTTGTTTTGAGTTCTGGAGAAGGGGCATTTAGTGATTTAGGGAGAGGCTTAGAAATGTTGTAATGGCTTTAAGAAAAACATTTATTTAGTACCTCTTATGTGCCAGCATTGTGCTAATAAGCACTGGGGTTATAAAGAGTCAAAAAACAGCCCCCTGCCCTCAATAAAGCAGCAATCTGCAGACTTTTACTAGGACACACACACCTCCATCAGGGAAAAAAATTTAAATGAATTAAAATAAATTAAAAAGCATTTCCCCAGTATGTTCCATAAATTATACGTGTGCTACTGCTAATACACAAAAATAGAAGTTTTTTTAAAGTATCAGATCAAAATGAAATAAAGACATGATTCTATGGGCCATAGAAACACTGGAGAATACTGGAGATTATAAGAGTAAAATGGTCACTTTAGAATGGTTTTGGCTGCTGTGTGAGAATAGGATGGAATGAAGGAAGACTTGGGGCCATGAGATGAATTATAAGGCTGTTGCAGAAATCCATTGGAGAAGTGATCAGGGCCTGAACTAGGCTCTTGTGAAGAACAAAGACAGAGGTGCTTCAGCAACTGATTGGGATACTTAGGTGGAGGGAGAGTTGAAGGTGAGGCTGAGGCTGAGAATTTAGGAAGGCCTGTGGTACTCTTGAAATGGGATAGTTTGGAGGACAAAGATAATGTAATAAGATGTGCTTATCCCAAACACCCTTACCTCCTCCTGTGGGACTCATAGGAAGGGAGATAAGAGTCCTTTACTAGTCGCTGCTGCAGCTACAACTCCCTCCCTTCCCCATTTGCTCAGTGTCTGCTGCTTGATACTAGTTTCATCACAGCTGCCTTTAGTTGGGGGAGTTTAGGAACCTGAGAGAAGGCTGAGTAGATTATTAGTGTAATTGTATTAGAGACAAGCCTGGTAGGTTGACAGTCAGGGAGTGGAATGTGGTACTCAGCTTCTGAGTGGTTAACAATGATAATTTTAAAAAGCTAGTGCTTTAAGGTTTCCAAAGCCCTTTGCAAATATCTCATTTTATCCTCACAGCCACCCTGTAAGGTAGGTGCTGTTATCCCCATTTTACAAATAAAGAAACTGAGGCTGAGTGTTTAAGTGATTTGCCTACAGCCCCACAGCTACTACTAAGTGTCTGAGGCAGGATTTGAGCTCAGGTCTTCCTGACCGTAGGTACAGCATTCTATCCACTGTGTCACCTGCCTCTAATCCACTGTGGTCAGACCTTGGTTTTCATTTCAGGAACCACTGCAGTGAAATTTAGGAGTGCATTTCAGCTTCTAAAAACAGTTACAGCTTTTGAACTGAGTGTCCATTTTTATTGTTTGTACTATTAATGTTGGCATTTAATGAAGCATTGTCCCTGGTTTTAATGTCTTTGTGTCAATGTCTAAACTCTAGATCAGCATTACATCTCATTTACCCTCACTGTACCCCACCCCACATACAATACTTAGCACATAACTAAATATTGTATAAATATTTGGTGAAATAAAATTTGTTTTTCCATTAGGAAGATTTTTAAAAATTTTTATTAATTTATTATGATTTATGAACAATCACTTCCATAAGCTTTTCAGTTTTAAATTTTTCTTTCCTCCCCCCCCCAAGATGGCAGGCAATCAGATACAGGCTATACATATACAGTGCTATTAAACATATTTTCACATTAGTCATTGTAAGGAAGAATTAGAACCAATAGGAGGAACCACCAGAAAAAGGAAACAAAACACAATGGAAGAAAAAAAATGGCAAACAATATGTTTCAATCTGCATTCAAACTCCATAGTTCTTTCTCTGAATGTGGATAGCATTTTCCATCATGAGACCTTTGGAGATGTCTTAGAGCTTTGCATTGCTGAGAAGGGCTAAGGCTACATCCTACAACATGGCTGTTAGTGTGTGCAGCATTCTGCTTCTGCTCACGTCACTCAGCATCAGTACATACAAGTCTTTCCAGGTTTTTCTTAAGTCTGCCTGCTTATCATTTCTTATGGCACAATAGTATTCCATTGCATTCATATACCACAGCTTGTTCAGCCATTCCCCAATTGATGGGCGAAGATTGTGTTTATTTCCCAAAAAACCAAGAGCTTAGATTTTTGGTTTGGCTTGATTTTTAATCTTATACATTTGTATCGCTTTCTTCCATTTTTCCCCTTAAGGTTTGAAACATGAATTTGTATGCATGTTTAGCTTGCCTGTGCTTGGGGATAGTAGCTGCTACTCCACAATTTGACCGGACTTTAGATGATAAATGGTACAAATGGAAGTCACAACATAGAAGGACCTATGGAGCGGTAAGCTTTAAGCAACGTTTCCCCCCAACAAGAGTACAGCATGTCCAAGGTGGGACTAAGGAAATGTCATTTCCCCAGAAGCCAAAGATTTATTCAGACAAGAGCTTCGTTTGCTCAAAATTGCTGCTTTTCCCACAGAAGTTTAGAGGCTAGGGATGTCTGTAGCATCAGAATTTGGAACTTCTTCTGGGATGGCAATATTTCAATGTGGTCACCATCCCAACTGGGTGTAAACCAAGTGATTGATAGTAGATTTAGTCTGAGGATGGTTTTACTAGTATGTATAATAATAAAAGCAGAAGCTTATTGAACCTTACATTTTTTTAAATTTACTTCCAGAATGAAGATAATTGGAGGAGAGCAACATGGGAGAAGAATTTGAGAATGATTGAAATGCACAATCAACAGTACAGTGCTGGCAAGCATAGTTTCCAGTTAGAAATGAACAAGTTTGGTGATATGGTAGGTGTGTTGTAACAATCTGATTTTAATACTGAATAGTCAGTTATCTTTTGCTCATGACATAATATAAATCATCTTTTTTTTCATTTTAGACCAATGATGAATTCAGGCAAGTGATGAATGGCTTTAGACAAAATAGATTTCAAAGGAAGAACAAAGGAACTCTGTTTCATGAACCTCTCCTTATGCAGACCCCTAAATCTGTAGACTGGAGAGAAAAAGGCTATGTAACTCCTGTTAAGAATCAGGTATGAAAAGTTGCTTAAGCTTGATCCATAGATAACTCAGATAAAACTCAGTGAAGCTTATGATTGATAATACAATCTCTTAAAAAGATGAGTAAGATTATCTTGTATACAACTAACCAGTGCTTCCTTTTGATGTTTTCAGGGTCAGTGTGGTTCTTGCTGGGCATTTAGTGCAACTGGTTCCTTGGAAGGCCAGTGGTTCCAAAAAACAGGCAAACTTGTTTCACTTAGTGAACAGAATTTGGTTGACTGCTCTAGGAATGATGGCAACGAAGGCTGTAATGGTGGTTTAATGGATAATGCCTTTGAATATGTGAAGAAAAATGAAGGCATTGATACAGAGGAATCATATCCCTATGAGGGAAAGGTGAATATAGTTATTGGATTCCCCATCATTTTGGTTTGGGATGGGAGCTGAGGAGGCCTGCAAAGACTGAAGACCTAAATACCCACCTTCCTAACTAAAGAAAGTCTCTAACTGAATCCAAAATATATCAACGCTAAAAATTAGTTTCCTTCACTATGAATACAATCACCCATTGAGAGGAGATCTTAGGAAGTATGTAGACTGTGTTGTCTTAGACACGGTAGTGTCTAAGAGATCATTTAGTCAGACATCATCATTTTACAATGACTTGCTCAAGATCACAAACATAGTAATAAGGGGCAAAGTCTGGATTGGAAACCAGGTTCCCTGAACCTAAATCCATTCTTGCCTTTGTAGCCTACACTTGTGCCTCCCTGACACCTAGCTCCCACAAGTGCCTTCTTAGGAGCAGGGAATTAAATGACAATTGAGTCTGATTTTGCATAACTGCTGACATTTATCTCATCCTTAAGGTTTACAAACATGTCCTTCCTTTAATTTCTTTTGATCCTCAAACAGCCCTGTCAGGGGGAGGTATTATCCTGATTTTTCTAATAACTGCTCATCCTCAGTCTCATGATCACAAAGCCTTCTTTCAATGGGACTTTCAAATAGTCCTTTACCCACCCATATCCAGTTGTCTTCTTGAGCTGTTCATCTAATAAACTGATGGAAGAACATGACCCATAGATTTATTAATTTCAAGACCATCAATTTAAAATTCATCTGGGCAATACCACTGATAGTAGACCCAAACCTTTTTTCTGTTTCATTTTAAAAGGATAGTGACTGTCGGTATCGGGCAGAATGCTCTGGTGCTAATGTCACTGGATATGTGGATATCCCATCTGGTCAGGAAAGGGCTCTTGCAAAAGCTGTGGCTACTGTGGGTCCCATATCTGTTGCTGTTGATGCAGGACATGCATCTTTCCAGTTCTATCGGTCTGGTAAGCATTCATTCCTCATTATTTCTGCAACAATGCATTTAACTGTATTACTGCCATTCACTGGTTAGCATTTCTCAAGTTCATATTTCACTTGAATATCCTAGGTATTTATTATGAACCAGAATGCAGTAGTGAACAGCTAGATCATGGCGTGCTGGTTGTGGGCTATGGTGTTGAAGCAAAGAATGGAAAGAAATACTGGATTGTCAAGAACAGGTAAACCAAGATCTTGCCTGTAACGTCATTGACCGGCTTGTTGCCAATTCCTGGTTATTTCATTTTGAAGAAAGGGGGAGGAGGAAGAAGGGTAGAGTTCCTGGGATCCTGAGAAATGGAGAAAGGATGTTCATGGGTGGAAGGGGCCCTGTTTTTAAGATCCAAAGTAGGTTGAGAGTTCCCCCTCGATAGTATAAAAGATTTCCTGCTGCCTAGTTTGTTGGACTGTTCTAATACAGTTGTTGTCAGACTGACTCACAAAGTACTGTGGGAAAAGCACTTCACTTGGAAAACCTGAAAGTACTTAGTGTTGAGTGAGTGGTTGTCATGAACTAGGGCATCTAGGTGGCACAGTGGCTAGAGAGAGCTTGCCCCTGGAGTCAGGAGGACCCATGTTCAGTTAGGACCTCAGACACTTCCTAGCTGTGTGATCCTAGGCAAGGTATGTAATCGTGTTTGCCTCAGTTTCCTCATATGGGAAATGAGCCAGAGAAGGAAATGACAAACCAATCTAGTATCTTTGGTCATGAAGAGTCTGATACAACTAATCAACTAAACAATAACAAAGTTGTCACCAACAATTATTTTCATTGCTTTCTGAAAGGTCCAACTAATTTTTTAAATTCTGTTGCAATGTGTATCAGAAGGCTTTGCACTCCTAAAGTAAAAAAGGTAGTTTTGAATGGTGCTGTTAAACTTAATACTCCCCTTTCTTTTCAGCTGGGGTGAAGAGTGGGGCGACCAGGGATATGTTTTAATGACCAGGGACCAGAGTAACCACTGTGGAATAGCAACAGCTGCCAGCTATCCTAAAGTATGATGTCATTGACTGAGGATCGCTTCACAGAGATGGGATCTGACTTGTGTCATTTGGGATCAAACACTTGAATCACCCAGGATCCAAGTTGTAATTTGAGTTTCTTTTGACATTTTTACATTTGTGAAATGTAAACACTACTTTGTTATAAATAGCTTGTAATATTGCTTAATTCAAAGAATTCACATTTTAAAATTGTATGTATAAAGCTTTACCTTTTTAAATAAACCTTGATTCGATATATATATATATATATATATATATATATAGATATAGATATAGATATAGATATATAGATATAGATATATAGATATGAACTTTAGGAGCACTGATTTTCCTTCAGTGTGTTAAATTTTGTAGCAGGAGACAAGACCATTCTGCCATAAAGAGGGGAAGAGACCAAACAAAACGTCATCAGTTTGAGAGCTGAAGTAGTCCAGAGGAATGATCAGCTCCAATCTGTTGTACAGATGAAGAATCTCATTGGACTCATTCACAAAGTCACAGCACAAAGTGGCTTGTTGGATAGGATAGGCCTTGGTTGAGAGAATGCTCCATGTGGAATCAGGCACTGGGCTCTTCAGTCCAGCCTCTGCTGTGTACTAATGGGATTGATTGGATAAGTGACTAAATCTCTGGGCTTCCAAGTCTCTTCATCTGGAATATGATGAAGGCATTAGACTTTAGATCTAAACCTGTGATCCTATGACTCCCAGTTAAGTGTATCTTTTCTTCTATCACAGAATATGCAAAAATATGATGGGAGAAGTGGATAACTCAGGATTTAGAGTCTCAGTGACCTGGGTTTTCATCTTGGCTCTGCCACGTATGAGATAGTGAAGTGGTACCTTAATTAGAAGGTTAGGCTTAGACTCAGGAAGACCTGAGTTCAAATCTGGCCTTACACACATACTAGCTGTGTGACCATGGGCAAGTCACTTAACCATATTTGCCTCAGTTTTCTCAAGTATAAAATGAAAATATCCTGCTGGGTTATCAAATGAGATTATATTTGCCAAGTGCTCAAAAGTGCCTGGCCTATAGTAGGCACCATGTAAATGTATATTCTGCCCTGACTTAGAGGCAAGTAGATAGCACAGTGGATAGAGCTTTGGCCTGGAGTCAGGAAGACATGTCTTCAGGCCTGTGCTGAGACACTTACTAGCTATGTGACCCTTGGCATATCACAGTTTTTCTTTGCCTTGAAGGCAGCTAGGTGTTCAGTGGATAGAACACTGGGCCTGGAGTCACGAAGAACTGTGTTCAAATCTAATTGAAATATTTACTAGCTGTGTGATGCTGGGTAAGTCACTTAACCTCTATTTGCCTTAACCTGCTGGTGAAGGAAATGTTATCTGTGCCAAGGAAACCTCATGGACAACAACCCTACCTCACTCCCATGTCCTAGGGGTGGAACATTAGATAAGTGACAATGTCTCTGGGGCCTTCCATTTGCATTCATCTCCAAAACAAGGGGACAAGACTACATGATCTCAAGTTCCCTGCTGGCTCTAAATCCATGATCTTGTGATAATCCATTTCACCTGTTCACTTGTAAGAGCAAGATTAGAACAGCTCCTTTAAAATGAGAATTCCATATATTTAAGTATTCCATGTGTTAAAATATATGTAAGCAAAGCATACATTATGCAGCAAGGATTTTTTAAAAATTTATTTTGAATTATCAACAATGAGTCCCATAAACTTGAGTTTTAAATTTTTCTCCCCTCCCCACCTCCCTCCTCAAGATGGTGAGCAATCTGATATAGGCTATACATATACATGCCTATTAAACATTTTCACATTAGTGATGTAAGGAAGAATTAGAACCAATAGGAAGAACCACCAGAAAGAGTAAACAAAACACAACAGAAGAAAAAAAATAACAAATAGTATGCTTCGATCTGCATTCAAACTCCATGGTTCCTTCTTTGGATGTGGATAGCATTTTCTATCATGAGGACTTTGGAGATGTCTTAGGTCCTTGTATTGCTGAAAAGGGTTAAGTCTATCAATATTAGTCATCATACAACATGGCTGTTACTGTGTACAAGGTTCTCCTGGTTCTGCTCACTTCACTCAGCATCAAACCATACAAATCTTTCCAGGTTTTCCGAAGTCAGCCTGTTCATCATTTCTTATAGCACAATAATATTCCATTACATTCATATACCACAGCTTGTTCAGCCATTCCCCAAATGATGGGCATCTTCTCAATTTCCAATTCTTTGCTACCACAAAAAGAGCTGCTATAAATATTTTTGTACATGTGAGTCCTTTTCCCATTTGTATAATCTCTCTGGGATATTGCCCTAGAAGCGCTGCAAGGATTTTCAGAACAAAACCTTGCACTGTTTAAGAGGCAAGTAGGTGACTAGGATAGAGCTCTCGTCAAGAAGATTTTGAGTTCAAATCTTGCCTCAGATGCTTATTAGCTGTGTAACTCAGCTAATCACTTAACCTCTGCCCTCAGTTTTTTCATCTGTAAAATGGGGATAATAATAGCATCTACTTCCCAGAGTTGACGTGAGGATCAAATGATATATTTGTAAAGTGTTTAGCAAACAAACCCATCTAAATGCTATTATTATTGCTTCACAATATCCACTGCCTGATATTCTATTCAAAAAAAATAAAAAGAGACATTTAGGGTAAAGAATCAGCATATATGATACTATGATGTGGTTTAGAGGTTCAGGGGTGCTGGGACCCCAATTTCACAACATGCGGGTTCTGTCTGAAAGAATTCAACCCAAGCCTTCTTTCAGCCAAAGACAAGGTTTATTATAACAACCATCATATTGGGCAGACTCTTGAGTCTGAACATTAGTAGCTGTTGGCTAGATTATAAGAATCTAAGTGGTTAGATTTTAGGAATCTGAGCAGTGGCTAGATTATAAGAATCTAAGCATCTTAATGGAGATGAGATGGACCTTATATACAAAAAGACTATGGGAAGGATCTAGGAGTGGTCAAGTAATCTATGAGGTAATAGAACTCCAGGAGTGGCCAAGGGAGAATGGAGCCTAGATAGGATTAAGGGTGGGAAGTGGCAGGGAGTAGGGGGCCACTGGGAGGTAAGACAATGAAGGGCCAGGCTAGGTTAAGGGTAACAGATTGGCCATAGCCACAAAGAAAGGCCAGTTGATGGGATTATAGCCTCAGGTGAATGCCAGAGATTTGGCCATGTGGTCCAGGGTTTTTTCTTTCTGGGGCCCAGATCCCAACCCCATCACTATAATAGGATGAGGGTGCTTTTATGATACTAAAAGAAATGGAAAATCTTACAAATGGAGGTAGATTTGAACTATAAATTCAGCAAAGACTTAAAGCTTAAAAACTTAAAGGCTAAAGCCTTAAGAGGGAATATGAACAAGTGTGGGTGGGTTAGCACACTCTTGATCTGGGAGAACCTCAAAAGAGATTTAGGACAAAGAGTCCATACAATTGGTAATAAGCTTATTATCCCCATTTGGGAGTAAATGATAATATACTTAGGTTCAAGAAAGTTTATTTTATTTATTTATTATGTATTTATTATTTATGTATTTATTACAGGATGGTTTGAGATTGATGTCACAGACAATAACCATACCTTAACACCAAGTCTGTAGGTTTCCCTGGAAACATACTGGGTAGTATTCCTTTAAAATGCACTGATGCACGTGCACATGCACACACACACACACACACACAAACACACACAGAGTATGTCAAGTTGCTAACTCTAAAATGGAAAATGTTATATTCATGATTAAATTTTGTTGTGTATGATTTTTGCTAGGCAGTGGGGTGAAGTGACTTGCCCAGGGTCACACAATAGTAAGTACCAAGTGTCTGAGGCTGGATTTGAACTCAGGTCCTCCTGACTCCAAGGCCAGCATTCTATCCACTATGCCACTCAGCTGTACCTAATGAGGATGGAGATCTAGATCCCAAAAAGGAAAAACCCTGGACTTTCCCACATGACCAAATCATTCACCTGAGACTATAATTTCATCAACTGGGCTTTCATTGTGGCTGTACCCAATGTCCCAATTCTCTGTTACCCTTAACCTAGTTTAGCCCTCCATTGTCTTACCTCCTCATGGCCCCAGGCCACTTCCCACCGTTTATCCTATCTAGGCTCCATTCTCCCTTGGCCATATGGTCTAGGTCTCTGGTGTACCATTACCTGAAGACTGCTTGGCCACTCCTAGATCCCTCCTATAGTCTTTCTGTATATAAAGTCCATCTTGTCTCATTAAGATTCTAGGAGTCTTATAATCTAGCCACTGCTTAGATTCTTCAAATCTAGCCAATAGCCTACTAATGTTCAGACTCTGCCCAATATGATGGATGTTCTAATAAACCTTGTCTTTGGCTGAAAGAAGGCTTGGATCCAATTCTTGTGGGCAGGACCCATGTGTTGTGATGTTGGGGTCTCAGCACCCCTGAACCCGTAACCCTCATCACCCCCATGATTAAATCTTTTGAGATTTGTTAATGGTAATGTGAAGTTTCTGGGCTTAAAAAATACTTGATTTGGTTCCCAAGTCTATTAAGCGGCAGTTAAACTTTCTACTCCAGGAGTCTTGTGATAATTGACTTCCTAGGATTTCTTTAATTTCAATATATTTTGTTTTGACATGAAAGACACTGCGACTCCACAAACACCCTAACAACTTCTCTCCCTCTCTCCTGCAGTTAAAAACCACCTCATAGAGTGAATGTGACTCATAAAATGTGTCACTTTCCATTATTGTGGTTTTACTGTTTTTGTTTTGTTTGGTTTTTTTAAAGAGAAAAGCCACATCATTGTCCATTTTACAGGGTAACCCAAAAGTCTTAGGGCAGTTTTAAGCCATTAAAGCATTAAATTGCTGGGACATCCTGTATTTGACCCAAGGTTTATAACCTTTTAATGTTAGCTTTACTTATTTTGTTATAATTATTGTACATAATTGTTCTCTTGGCTCTGTTTTCTTCTGTCTGTCTCAAGTCTTAGCATGGTTCGCTGAATTCTACATACTTTCCTTCCTTATGGGACAATAATTCATTACATTTATATACCATAATTTGCTCAGTTATTCTCTAATCATAGGATACATGTGAGATCATGCCTAGGAGCAACTAAGTCATTGGGCTAGTGAATACTAAGCTCTTGCTTAATAAATGCTGATTGGCTGACTGATTGACTTGGCTCTTGTACTCCCTGGGATATTTCAGCCTCTTTCTCCCTCTCCCCTTCCCACTTCCTTTCTTC